GCCATTGTGATAAGGTTACCAAAATAGTGCCATGCAGAGCGAATCAAACGACGTTAGAAATTTCAACTGAGGCGAATTGTGTTCACTTGGGAAAGGCATGAAACTAATTTTCTTTATTATCTGTTGCATTTTCTGATATTTAGCAAAATTTCCTTGCAACGTTAGTAAACGAGGTAGCTTATGAATGAGGGAGCAGCTTTGACAGGAGCCAGTTATGTACAATGATGAAATAATAATAATAATAATAATAATAATAATAATAATAATAAATCAGGTTGCACGATGTTGGCACCCAGTGAATATAAAACCCGACATGACAGAGTGGGCCAATATCTGCACTGGAAAATCTGCAACTTCTACGGGAAGGAAACTGAAAGAAACTGGTATGAACACCACCCAGACCCGGTTACGGAGATAGGACCTGTTACAATTCTATGGGATTACGCAATACACACTGACACAACAATCAAGGTCTACCGCCCAGATATTGTTATTAAAGAGCACAAACAAAAACGGTGCCTCCTTATTGATATGGCAGTCCCTGCTGATTGCAATGTATCTTTGAAGATATTCAAAAAGCTGTCAAAATACAAGGACCTTGAAATAGAAATCTCGAAAATGTGGCATATGGGAACATCAACAATCCCTGTTGTAGTTGGAGGACTGGTTGGAAAAAGATTGCAGTAGACTAATTGAAGGGATTCCTGGAAGTCCATGCCTAAAGGAGATACAAAAATTGTTCTGGCAAGTACAGCCCACACCTTACGAAGGGCTTTATCTATGTAATTTTTTTTTTTTTTTTTTTGTCAGTGGAAAGTGTCATGATGCCATTTCTAACCTTAGGTCCCTGGGCGGGACTCGGAAAGAAATGTGTAAACGCCAGAAATCAAAGAAAATAAAAAATAATAACAATAATGATAATAAAAGAATACTTACAGTCTGTTGTTAACTGGGGCAAAGGATGGCTTGTTAATTTTAATGAGTCCAAAACTAAACTGCTCTATTAATCGTCTGCGGGATACCTTTTCTGCCTTCCATCATTATGGCTGATGCTAACCTCCAGGAGAATGACAGGTTGCGCCTTCTCGGACTAACATTCTCGGCTGCTATGAAGTGGAAAGACTACTGCTTTGAAAGTTGGTTCACTGTGTCGTGTCAGACAATTGACAGAAGCCAGTAAGTGCGACGCTGAGATCCGAAGACGTATTGGGATGGCTGAAGACGCACTCCAGAAACTAAGCAGAGTATTACGAGACAGGAGGATTACTTTGGTATCAAAGAAAAGAGTACTGAACTGCTGTGTGACATCTGTCCTCCTTTACGACAATGAATGTTGGACGGTCGCCTCAAAGATGAAGAAGAGACTCAAGACAATGGAGGCATGGGTCTACAGAAGGATGTTAAGGATATCATGGTCCAAGCGTGTGAGCAATGATAAGGTTTTGGAGAGGATGCAAACAAGGAGGAAGCTTATGCTTAATATCAGAAAGAGGCAGCAGAAGTTTCTGGAACACCTAATGAGATGGGAGTGCTTGGAGAATCTGATACTCACAGGTCTAATAGAGGGAAAGAGAGACAAAGGAACGCAACACATGACATACCTGGTGGGCTTAAACAAGCGAATGACAGAATATAGCCTGGGGAAGTAGCAAAGGGACAGAACTTATTGAGAGCTACAAGGATCGGGGGAAGTGGAGAGCCATGATCGCTGAACTCTTGAGCGACGGTTCGGTCCTGCTTTCGGGCGGGAGGAACCCGAAGGAGGCTACGCCGAAGGGCGGAGTCTCCTTCGGGGAGGTAGACCGGCCCTGAACCCGTTTATACGGGTTCAATGGGTATATTTTTGGCCGAGCCCACGGGCTCGGAGTGCCCACGTTAAACCGGCCTTGTGCCACATGACGCCCTCGTGGGGGGACGACTAAATATAGTCCTGAAGATACACCGTACATGAAAGAAAATAATCTATCATACATATCGATAAGTTTATGCTTCGCATTTTGCTGCCATATAAGATCCAGTGCTATAAATTTAGAGATTCTTGATAAAATCCAAAGACGAATCAACAATATTATTGGTTCTGACCTGGCATCTCGGCTTCTTCAATGTTTAAGATATCAAGGTAATATTTATTAATGCAGAAATCTTGGAGAAAAACGCCCCTTTCAAGCTGCCAAAAAATTAGACAAAATTCCATCACAAAATACCCGACTATTGGATTATCAACGACAAAAGAGATTAAGTATATCATGAAGATTTAAGATCGTACGAAAGCTGCATAGTATTTATATACTTTGTCACGGACAATTAGATTTAAAAGTTTAAAATTTCAGCACCCCTCTCTCCTTTGTGCATATATATATATATATATATATGTGTCTGTGTGTGTGTGTGCGCGCAAATATGTAGAAAAATAGGAAAGAACATGTTAGGTAAATAATCCGGGGTTCTTTAGTATTTTTGTTTATTTTTTTTTAAAAAACAGTGCTCCATACAGAAGTAGAGCTTAGATTATAATTATTTAAAAAAAAAATATGATTCCTTCGCTACATAAAAGTTCTCATGTTTCAAAAACGAGAGCCGAAGCCATTAATTTTATTAAAATTAAATTGAATTAAAGTAACAAGCCCTGTTTCATCCTCAAGCGAAAATTTAGGAATAACCAATTTTGAAATTTACGTATCGTTATAAGCATGTTTATTTGTTACTATGGAAATTGCTGGGGCGACCATTTTTCATAAGGGGCCTAAGAGTTAATTTTTATCCACATATCAGTCATCTTCAGGGAGAGGTCAAGCTGAGGTAGGGTGGGGTGTCTATTTCAAATCGAATGATGTCTTTCTTGTACGCGCATTGTCTGTTCATTCACAGAGAAAGATAGATTTTGGCACTATAGTATGTTTTTAAGTGTCTGGAGAATTGTTTTGTTTTATTTATTTTCAACGGGCTGTTTCATGTATAAATGCGTCGCACTGAACTACTGTTGTCATATAAGCTCTGGTGCACCTGTTGTTCATCTTAACAAAATTCTTAACAAAATCTTAACAAAGATTCTTAACAAAATCCAAAGTCGGATCTGCAATGTGATCGGTTCTGTCTTGTCACCTGGACTCCAGTCACTTTCTCCTCACCGACGTAATGTGGCTTCCCTTTGTCTTTTCTATAAATTTTCCTATGGCATCTGCTCTGACGAGCTATTTTCCCCCGGGAACTCGACTGCATGAATTTAAGCGTGCTACTAGTATGGCATGCAGATCGGACTCTTTTACTGTCGAAACAGTTAAATGTAACCGCCTCTTCTACTCCAACAGCTTCTTCTTTCGCACTTCCCGACAGTGGAACTCCCTTCCTCTTAATTGTTTCCCCGATAACTACAAACTTCAAAAATTTAAATGTAACGTCATCCTCAACCCTCCACCTCTACACACGGTCTTTTCTCTTACCTTCACTCTCTGTAACCTCTTGCGCACTAGTGGCACCCCTGCCTTATATGGGGCGAAATGCTTAAAAAAATATGTAGTTATATCAACGTAAATATTACTTCAGTCTGAAGAAGTCCTAAAGGATGAAACGCTTCACACGAAGTTTTTTTCACTGATTCATTAAATTTCCTAATATATGTGAATAAATTTTAAGATATATTATTGTTATGCATTATTTATATAGACACAAATATTAAAGTAAATGTTCTGTTTATAATAAACAGTATTAACAAAATTTACCGGCCTGAACGTCCGAGAAATTTTTATAGAAAAAATATGTCCTCCGACAGGAATCGAACCTGTACCCTACGCAGAACCATCATATAGCCTGACGTGCTGTACCAGTTTAGATACAGAGGAGCGTCTGGTTAGCAAGGTCGATTTTATTACTTTTAGATTACAAGCTTCCATGATTTCCATGTGTAGGAGGATATATTTTCTATGATAATTTCTCGGACATTCAGGCTGGTAAATGTTGTTAATACTGCTATGGTAGGTAAAATTGCTATTACATTTAATTTTTTTTAATGTTGTTTTGTTATTATTTTAAAGCCGGTTATTTGCTTTCTTATGTTTTTACTTTATTTTTTTTAATGGATATTCATATTTTAGTAGATGTTCTGTTTTTATTTATTTATTAAACAGTATATTTATTTATTTGCATCTGCCAGCCTGAATATTTCGAGAAATCTTAGAAATGTATGCGGCAGGATATTTTTCTAACAAGAATTCTCGAATATTCCAGGCTGGTAGATGGAAATAAATAAATATAATGTGTAATAAATAAATAAAAAGCAAAGTTTCTACACAAGTATGAGTATCTATTTAAGAAAATAACGTTCAAAAAAATAAATTAAAATATATCGAATTTAAAATATTTTCCCCAAAACTTGTCTTTGTTTACGTTTGGATACGAAACAGAACAGATATG